TGAGGTCAAGAGATTGAGGGGACCATTCCTGGCCAGACATTGGTGAAACCGTCACATCTATAAAACTACAATTAGTTGGCGTGGTTGTTGGGCACCTGTAGTCCCAGCTACTCGGGAGGAGCAGAAGAAGCTCTTGAACCCAGGGAGGCAGAGGGTGCAGGTGAGCCGAGATTCACCACTGAAGTCAGCCTGGTGACAGAGTGAGACTCCGTCTAAAAAAAAAAAATTAGGTGGGAGACATGGTGTGTACGTGGACTGCAAAGCCCAGTACTGCAGGGGCTGAAGGTGGGAGAATTGCTTGGACCCAGGGGGCAGGGTGGCCGTGAGCGAGTTGCCACCGCTGCACTGCCAGCTGGGGATAGGGAGCAAGGACTCCGTCTCACAAAGAACAAACAAACAAACCAACAGCCTCATTAAAAAAAAAATTTTATTAATTAATTTATTTTTTGAGACAGAGTCTCGCTCTGTCACCCAGGCTGGAGTGCAGTGACACAATCTCAGCCCACTGTAACCTCCACCTGCTGGGTTCAAGCAATCCTCCTGCCTCAGCCTCTGGAGTAGCTGGGATCACACCACGCCCAGCTGAATTTTGTATTTTTAGTAGAGATGGGGTTTCTCCATGTTGGCCAGGCTGGTCTTGAGCTCCTGACCTCAGGTGATCCGTCCGTCTTGGCCTCACAAAGTGCTGGGATTACAGGCGTGAGCCACTGTGCCTGGCCACACAGCCTCATTTGTGGCTGAGGAGACGAAATCTAGGCTCACTATTGCCTCAAACTCCTGGGCTCAATCGATCCTCCTGCCTCAGCCTCCTGAGTAGCTAGGACCATAGGCATACACCACCACACCTGACTAATTTTTTAAATTTTTGTAGAGGTGAGGTCTCGCTATGTTGCCCAGGCTGATCTCCAACTCCTGAGCCTGTGTTATCTTCCCACCTGAGTCTTCCAAAGTGCTGAAGTTACAGGCATGAGCCACCACACCCAGCCGGAAATAAATTATTTTATTGCTTATAGGTCCTGGGGCATACATGGCATGCCTGGAGGCCACACACACACACACACACACACACACACACACACACAGGTCAGGGAGTGCGGGCAGGGAGGGAGAGAGAGAGGGATCAGTGGGCTGATGCCTTTATTGGGTCCAAGGCGTCAACCAAACAGGTTTCCTGAGGGGAGTTTTAATTGGTGGGTTCAGGCCAGGCACAGTGGCTCATGCCTATAATCCCAGCACTTTGGGAGGCTGATTTTGGGAGGCTGAGGCAGGAGAATCGCTTGAGCCCAGGAGGCAGAGGTTGCAGTGAGCTGAGATCATACCATTGCACTAGCTTACAGTAGCTTGTTGACTCAGCTACTGTAATCTTAGTAGCTGGGATTACAGGCATAAACCACCACACCCAGCTAATTTTTGTGTCTTTAGTAGAAACGGGGTTTCATCATGTTGGCCAGGCTGGTCTCGAACTCCTGACCTCAAGTGATCTGCCCACCTCAGCCTTCCAAAGTGCTGGGATCACAGGCATGGCCCACTGCACCCAGCCTCCAACTTATATTTTAAATGAATGCCGAGGCAGCCTAAAATTATAGGAATTCAATCAGGTGCAGTGGTTCACACCTGTAATCCCAGCATTTTCAGAGGCCGAGGTGGGAGGATCACCTGAGGCCAGGAGTTCAAGACCAGCCTGGGCAGCATAATAAGACACCATCTCTACAAAAAATAAAACAATTAGCCAAGCCTGATGATGCATACCTGTAGTCCCACCTACTGGGGAGGCTGGGGCAGGAGGATTGCTTAGGCCCAGGAGGTCGAGGCTGCAGTGAGCTGTGATGGCTCCTCTGTACTCCAACCTGGGTGACAGAACGAGACCCTGCCTTGAAAAAATAAATAAATAAATGTCACTATGTCACCACCCCAAGGTCACACTGCTGTAAAATGGCAGAGATGGGATTCTTGTAGCCAGTGCCCTGCTCTGAAACTCCCAGTTATTGGCCGGGCGCAGAGGCTCACACCTGTAATCCCAGCATTTTGGAGGCCGAGGTGGGCGGATCAGCCGAGGCCAGGAGTTGGAGACCAGCCTGGCCAACAGAAACCCTGTCTCTACTAAAAATATAAAAATAAGCCGGGAGTAGTGGTGCATGTCTGTAGTCCCAACTACTCGGGAGGCTGAGGCAGGAGAATTGCTTGAACACTGGAGGCAGAGGCTGCAGTGAGCCGAGATTGGGCCATTGCACTCCAGCCTGGGCCACAGAGCAAGACTCCGTCTCAAAAACAAAAGAAAAGCCTAGGAGCCCAGGAGTCAGGTGCACTGGCCTCTCCCGGGACCCTGTCCCGGTTTGGGCTGAGAGGCTGGGAGACCAGAAGCAGGAGAGATAGCCAGGCCAATGCAACTGCCTCCAGATCTGTTTGCCTGTCCGTTATAATCCTTTGAGCAGCGCTGTCAACCCATTTCACAAACTCTTTCATCCACTAGCTCAACAAATAGGGAATATTACGTGCTGGCCGCAAGGCGGAAGGCAGGACAGATGTAAATCTCGAACATTAAAGCACAGAACTCCGGAGGGGCCCTGGGGAGGGCAGCTTCGGGCAGGGGGAGTGACTTGCCCCCGTGGTGAGGGGCGCAGAGCCAGGAGTATGTAACAGCCACTTCCTCACCCCACTTCTCAGATCCGGGAGATGGAGGCCAGGGCGGAAGTCTCAGAGGAGGGTGGATGGGGAAGGCGGGGCCTTAGGGACCCCTTCCCTAACGCGTGCCCCCGACCTCACCGCAGGGACCCGCAAGAAGCTGCGCCTGTACCAGTTCCTGCTGGGGCTGCTGACGCGCGGGGACATGCGTGAGTGCGTGTGGTGGGTGGAGCAGGGCGCCGGCGTCTTCCAGTTCTCCTCCAAGCACAAGGAGCTCCTGGCGCGCCGCTGGGGCCAGCAGAAGGGGAACCGCAAGCGCATGACCTACCAGAAGCTGGCGCGCGCCCTCCGAAACTACGCCAAGACCGGCGAGATCCGCAAGGTCAAGCGCAAGCTCACCTACCAGTTCGACAGCGCGCTGCTTCCTGCAGCCCGCCGGGCCTGAGCACACCCGAGGCTCCCACCTGTGGAGCTGCTGGGGGACCTCACGTCCCAGCCAGGATCCCCCTGGAAGAAAAAGGGCGTCCCCACACCCTACCTGATATGACTTATGCATCCCTACCTTTTGGGGGTAGGGGGAGTGCTGCCCTGCCATAATCCCCAAGCCCAGCCCGGGCCTGTCTGGGATTCCCCACTTGTACCTGGGGTCCCTCTGGGATTTCTTTGTCATGTACAGACTCCCCAGGATCCTCAGGTTTGGGGTGACAGGACCTATGGACCACTATACTAGGGGAGGCAGGGTAGCAGTTCTTCCAGAATCCCAAGAGCTTCTCTGGGATTTTCTTGCGATACCTGATTCCCCAGTGAGGCCTGGGACCTTTTTAAGATCCCCGTGTGTCTGTAAACCCTCAATCTCATCTGGGGTGGGGGCCCTGCTGGCAACCCTGAGCCCTGTCCAGGGGTCCCTCTTGTCGGATCTGAGATCTCCTCCTTATGTCTGGGGCCCTCTGGGAGCTGTTGTCATCTCAGATCTCTTTGCCCATCTATGGCTGTGTTGCCACATCTGTCTCCTCATCTTTGAGATCCCCCAATTCTCTGGAACCATTCTGCTGTCCCTTTTTATGTGTCTGGAGTTCCCCAATCACATCTAGGGCTCCTCCGAGATCCTTTTGTCATGTCTGAAATCACTCTTGAGAGGTCTGGGGTGTGGGGGGATGGGGAAGTCAGTGAAATGTGTCTTGTCTGGGCCCTGTCAGGGACACCCTTGTCATATCTGGGATCCTCTAATCACATCTGAGACCTCCTAGGCTGTCCATCTGATATGCCCTTTCAGGGACCCCACAAAGACTGAGTTCTCATGGGGACCCTACCCTTCCTGGTGGCCCTCCCTGTGGCCATGCTGAGGACCACTCTGGCTACATGACTGATTTTTGGGTGATCATGGCAGCTCCCCATCCATGTCATTTCTAACCAGAGGTCTCAAGGTGGTCACCCCCTGCCCCCCAACCCAGGCCCCGGTCCCTGGTGATGGTCTCTTTAGTTCAAAGTAGCATTTGGTGGTGGAGGTGTGAGGGATCCACATTAAAGCAGACCATCAGCTGGGAGTGGCTCACACCTGTAATCCCAGCACTTTGGAAGGTGAGGCAGGGGGATGGCTTGAACCCAGACATTCAAGACCAGCTTGGGCAACATAATGAGACCTCATCTCTACAAAACATAAAAAAAAAAAAATTAGCCGGGCATGGGGGTGCACACCTGTGGTCCCAACTGCTCCTCAGGAGGCTGAGGTGGGAGGATCTCTTGAGCCCAGGAAGTCGAGGCTGTGGTGAGCTGTAATTGTGCCACTGCACTCCAGCCTGGGCGACAGAGTGAGACACTGTCTTAAAAACAAAAAACAAGGCCGGGCACGGTGGCTCATGCCTGTAATCCTAGTACTTTGGGAGGCTGAGGTGGGCGGATCACGAGGTTGAGAGATCGAGACCGTGCTGGCCAACATGGTGAAAACCCTGTCTCTACTAAAAATACAAAAATTAGCTGGGCATGGTGGCACGTGCCTGTAGTCCCAGCTACTCGGGGGGCTGAGGCAGAAGAATCACTTGAACCCAGGAGGCAGAGGTTGCAGTGAGCCTAGATTGCGCCACTGCACTCCAGCCTGGACCACAGAGTGAGACTCCATCTGAAAACAACAACAACAAAAAACAGCAGACCATTCAAAATAGGGAGACTTTGCATCACCCAGATTTCTGCCTTCACTTAAAACTTTGGACGATCTGGAGAGAGTGGGCCAGTTTTTGGAGGGGGGTGGGGAGCTGGAACGGGAGGACAGTAGCCTTTCCTAATGGGGTATTTGTTCTCCAGTCTGCCCCAGTCACTGCCATCCTTGGCTATCTTACCCCAGCAGCTTCTCAAGCCCGTTTGCTTTAGATCACTGTATAAACCCAGCTGGAACTGAAGCCTGGGTGGACTATGGAGCACTGGTTGTGACCCCCAGGGAGTGTCAAAGGCTGAGGGCCAAGAGGCCAGAGGTCCTGGAGCCCGGGTGGACAGGTGGATCTAGGGTGAATGACTTGCTGCTTCCCAACCTTAGTTTGTGCCTTCTGTGAAAAACAGAGAGAAGGAGGAGGAAGATCTCAAAAAGCCTTTCTGGCCCAGTACGGTGGCTCACACCTGTAATCGCAGCACTTTGGGAGGCCGATGCAGGTGGATCACCTGAGGTCAGGAGTTCAAGACCAGGCTGACCAACATGGTGAAACCCTGCCTCTACTAAAAATACAAAATTAGCTGGGCGTGGTGGCGCATGGCTGTACTCCCAGCTACTTGGGAGGCTGAGGCAGAATTGCTTAGAACCTGGGAGGCAGAGGTTGCAGTGAGCTGAGTTCGTGCCCTGCACTCCAGCCTGGGTGACAAGAGCGAAACTCCGTCTCAAAAAAAAAAAAAGCTGTTGCAGCCCCTGTTGAGCCTTTGACACCGCCTGACTCCCAGGAGGAGGAGGAGGAGGAAGAAATACCGATGACCCAGAGACACGAGAAGTCCATGTGGAGGCACACAGCAGCTGGTGGCAGAGCCCAGGCTGGGACTTGCCCTCAAGAGAATGAGTGGGGAGGAGGAGGGAGGAAGGGCAGGTAAAACGTCCTTCCCAGGGCCCCCTGCAACGAAGAAGGTACTCTTTACAAGAGCTGTCATTGTTACCCTAAATGTGCAATAAAATTAGACACATCGAGGTAGACAAACCTCCTGGGACCTTTTTGTCAGGGACTGCAATCCTGCCCCTCCACTGGGGCCGCTGGCTCTCAGAGACACCGTGACATCACGGGTGATGATGAGAGGAGTTCAAAGAGACAATTATATGCTGGTCGGGGGCTCTGTAATCCCAACACTTTGGGGGGCCGAGGCAGGAGGATCGCTTGAGTCCAGGAGTTTGAAACCAGCCTGAGCAAGATAGTGAGACCCCTCCCTACCCGTCTACAAAAAAATTAAAAAATTAGCGGGGTGTGTTGGTGTATGCCTGTAGTTCCAGCTACTCGGAACTACTGAGGAGGGAGGGTCACTTGAGCACAGGAAGTTGAGGCTGCAGTGAGCCGTGATCGTGCCCCTGCACTCCAGACAGGGCGAGACCCTGTCTCAGAAACAAACAAACAAATCACAAAGAGACTATACAGCAAAACCTGTCTGAACCTTGAATGCCGAGAAATAAGAGACTTGACTTGCAGGCACAGGGGGTTCCGTTTGTTTTATGTCTTCCTCTCTTCCTGCCAATTGAAGTGCTCCACCTCCTCGCTTCCCCTTCCGTCTGGGTCTCTGTCCCCTTCCCTCTGAATTGAGCCCTCGGGGGGCCGCGAGGGGCGCGAGGTTTCAGGTGGCCGCGGCACTTGCAGGCCTGGGCCCCTCCCCAACTTAGCGGGGCTCTCGGGACCGCAGTGGCAGTCTGCCTGGCAACCCGTGACATCACGCCGGGCTGACGTCGGATTGGCTGGACCCTCCCTGGAGGCGGAGAAGTTTCCGGCTCGTAGGGGGTTTTGGAAAAGGAGGAGGGGGAAGATGAACAGGAAGAAAAAGGTGAGGGACTTGTTTTTCCTCACACCGGGTCCCTCACGCCGCGTTACTAGCCAGGCAGTCCCCCGCCTTAACCCTAACTCCCCAACACCCTTTCCCTCCTTCCTCCCCAAAACACCTGGCGTCCCCAAGCCCCGCCCCTCCCCAGGCTCCGCCCCTCGGCTCCCCGCCGCGTCCAGAGCTACCCCATTCAGAAAGTCACAGGTCCCCTTGCCGGGAAGGGCGCCAACGTCCGGGCAGCCCTCCAGGGCCTTCCCAGCCTCCCACCCGCCCCCGCTGGGGACGCCCACCCCCTACCCGCGTCCGGTGCCCGCAGTGCGCGGTCCGGGAAGAGTTGCGCGGAGCGGTCCCAGGAGGGGCGGCGGCCAGTCCGGGGTCCCAGATGGCCGGGGCCCCAGCTCTTCGGGTTTGCCAACGCCCGGGGCGCGAAACTCCCGAGTCCCAGAGTCCCGGCGCCCTCCCCGGAGGCGCAGGGACCTCCTCCCCCCGCCGCCGTCCTGCCTAGGCTGGGAAACCGGACCCTCCCTCCCGGCTCCGGTTTCCCGAAAACTCCTGACTTGCAGATGCTAAGAATGGCTTCCTAGACCCTGTCCCTCCCCCGCCTGCTTCATGCCAGAGCTCTGGCCCGCAGCCCTTGCCCCCTTGAGACCCTTAGTCTCTTCCTCTTCCTCCTGCCGGGACCCAGGCGTCCAGGCGCTCGTCCTTTCTAGGGAACCCAAGAATCTGGGACCCCAGCTGCTTCTGCCCCCAGACTCAGGAGTCCAAGCACCCAGTCCCCTCCTCCCTGAGATCCTGGAGTCCGAACCCCAGCCCCCTCCTCCCTCAGACCCAGGTGTCCGAGCCCCAGCCCCTCCTCCCTCAGACCCAGGTGTCCGAGCCCCAGCCCCTCCTCCCTGGGGGCCTGGCTCTCAGCCATCTCCCTAGGTCCAGCTGTTATTTCTCGCCCTTTAGAACATGCGGGCGGAATGTGGGGCGGCCCTATGGTCTGATGCCTCCCGGAGCCTTCTGGGAGTCTCAGGACTCATTAAAAGGCTCCCCTTAGGGGCCCACCTGTCCTCCCTAGGGCCTAGCGGGACGCGGCTGCGGTCAGAGGAGCGGGAGGAGGTCCCCCGACATGCCTGAGGCAAAACCAGGTGGTGCCAGGACCCCCTCCCTGTGGGGATGGGGCTGTTCTTTCCTGAATGGGGATTTGGGGCCCCTCTCTTTGTAGGGTTGGGAGAAGGAGGAGCCTTCGCTGTGTGAAGAGGAGGCTCCCTTTGCTGTGGGGGATGGGGGTTCCCGCATCGGTTTAGGGCGAGGGTCTCCACTCTGCATGGGGAAGAGGGTCCCCTTCCGTTTGTGACAGGAGTTTCCTTCCTTGTATGAGGTGGGGTCGGTCTCGTATCTGTTGGGGTAAGGGATCCCCTTCACTCAGCAGGGACGGGGTTTCTTTTTCTATAAGTGATTGGGGGGCATCTCTGGTGGAGATGGGGATTCTCTGGTTGTAAATTGGGTTCCTTTTGCTCGATGGAGATGGGGATCCTGTGTGTGTAGACTGGGATTTTTATGTTTTTGAGATGGAGTCTCACTCTGTCACCCAGGCTGGACTGCAGTGGTGCAATCTCGGCTCACTGCAACCTCTGCCTCCTGGGTTCAAGCAATTCTCCTGCCTCAGGTAGCTAGGATTACAGGCATGTGCCATCATGTCTGGCTATTTTTGTATTTTTAGTAGAGACGGGTTTCGCCATGTTGGCCAGGCTGGTCTCAAACTCCCAGCCTCGGGTGATCCACCCGCCTCAGCCTCCCCAAGTGCTTGGATGACAGGCATGAGCCCCTGCGCCCGGCCAGACTGGGAGGTCTTCGAATGTGATTGGATTCTCCACATCCGGGGGTGGCATCCTCTGGGCAGGGTCTGGTCCACTTCTCTGAGTGAAGACTCAGAGGGAGCCAGGTGCAGTGGCTCATGCCTGTCATCCCAGCACTTTGGAATGCCAAGGCAGGAGGACTGCTTGAGGCCAGGAGTTCAAGACCAGCCCCGGCAACATGGCGAGACCTTGTCTCTACAAAAAATTAAAAACTAGCCAGGTGTGGTGGTGCATGCCTGTAGTCCCAGATACTTGGGAGGCTGAGGTGGGAGGATCGTTTGAGCCTGGGCAGTTGAGGCTGCAGTGAGCTGTAATCATAACCACTGCACTCCAGCCTGGGTGACAGACTGAGACCCTGTCTCTAAAAAACAAGCAACAATAGCAACAACAGGCCGGGCGCGGTGGCTCAAGCCTGTAATCCCAGCACTTTGGGAGGCCGAGGTGGGTGGATCACGAGGTCAGGAGATCGAGACTATCCTGGCTAACATGGTGAAACCCCGTCTCTACTAAAAATACAAAAAAAAAAACTAGCCGGGCGTGGTGGCGGGCGCCTGTAGTCTCAGCTACTTGGGAGGCTGAGGCGGGAGAATGGCGTGAACCCGGGAGGCGGAGCTTGCAGTGAGCCGAGATCACGCCACTGCACTCCAGCCTGGGAGCACAGCGAGACTCCGTCTCAAAACAAAAACAAAAACAAAAACAAAAACAAAAAAACAATAGCAACAACAAAAATGGCCTGGTGCGGCAGCTCACACCTGTAGTCCCAGCACCTTGGGAGGCCAAGGTGGGTGGATCGCCTGAGCCCAGGAGTTCAAGGCCACCCTGGCCAACAAAGCAAAACCCCATCACTACAAAAAATACTAAACTGGCTGGGCTTGCGGGTGTGCACCTGTAGTCCCAGCTACTTGGGAGTCTGAGGCAAGAGGATCCCTTGAGCCTGGGAGGCGGAGGTTGCAGTGAGCCCAGATCTTGCCACTGCACTCCAGCCTAGGAGACAGAGCGAGACCCTGCTGGGAAAAAACAAAAACAAAAAATAGATTCCAAGGGACCCTCTCTGTAGGATATGGGGTGATTGTGGATATAAAGATTAGTGGTTCCCATCTGCATGGAGTCACAGGGGAAGTATCTGTATTAAGGATGGGGGAGCCTGATTTCTGTGGACACTGAGGCTTCCCTGTGTAGGAATTAGCGAGGCTTCTTCATATAGGGAATGGGGTCCTTTCTGTGGGGTTTGGGGACCTTCTTTGAATGGGACTGGGGAGCACTTTCTATGGAGATGAGGCTTTCTCTCTATGAGGAACTCACCGCAGGAATCCTGCACCGCTGGGCGGACCCCCTCCTGGGATGTCTGGTCCGCTGGCCTCAGGCCAAGCAGGTTGTGGGGTGGGTCCAGCCCCTACTGTAGCTGCAGACCCAGCCAGCAAGGAATAGCAGGCAGGGCAGGGGAAGGATGCTGCGGTCAGCACCAGGTGTCCAGTTTCCAGCCCAGAGGGAGAGCTAATTATACCCTCGGACCCAAAAGGTCAGGGTCTGGTGGCCTGGACGGATGGGGCAGGGCCTGCTGGGGGCAAGGGAAACCCGATCCCACAGACTCTCAGATCTGAGATAAATTTATACCTAAGGTGGGGGCCTGGGCTCCTGGGTCTGAGGGAGGAGGGGCCGGGGGCCTGGACTCCTGGGTCCAAGGGAGGAGGAGGGGCCAGGGGCCTGGACTCCTGGGTCCGAGGGAGGAGGAGGGGCCGGGGGCCTGGACTCCTGGGTCCGAGGGAGGAGGAGGGGCCGGGGGCCTGGACTCCTGGGTCTGAGGGAGGAGTGTGCTGACCGCGTGCTCAACTATGACTATCCCCTACCTTACAGCGGCCAAAAAGGCCCCTAAGGGCAAAGATGCCCCCAAAGAAGCCCCCAAGGAGGCTCCCCCTAAGGAGGCTCCTGCAGAGGCCCCCAAAGGTGAGGAGGTGTTCCCTCGGGCTCAGCCGACCTGGCTTCTCATCTCCATCCTCCCCTCTACACCTCCCCCGGCCTTCCCCTAGCCTCTGTCCCTGAATCTGTCCCCACACAGCCCCAGGGCTGACCCACGCCTCCCATACTCCCAGCCCTCCTGGGGCTCCCTGGCACCCCCAGGCAGAGCCCAGCCCCTCGGCTGGCATCAGTTCCGGTCAACTGACTGACTGATCACCAAGTTCCGCCCCAGTCTCTCTAAACCTCTCCCACCCCAAAGGCACATTCAGTGCCCTCCAGTCCACAGATGAGGAAACCGAGGCCCAACGGGGTGGGGGAGCCTGGCCAAGGTCACACAGCCACGAGGGTGACAGGTGGCCTTTCCCAGGTCAGGAAAAGCCATTTAATCCCCATGATGTTTGGTTTCTGAGCAGAGGGTCCCTCACTGTCCCTAAGTCCTTTCCCCAAAGCAGCCCACTGTCCCCTCCTCAGCCCATCTCAGACCTCCTCATCCTAATCCTGTCCCCTGAGCAGAAGCCCCACCCGAGGACCAGTCCCCGACTGTAGAGGAGCCTACTGGCATTTTCCTGAAGAAGCCGGACTCTGTATCAGTGGAGACTGGTGAGGGGAACCTGGGGGAGGAGGGGCCAGGGGCCTGGGTCTGAGGGAGGAGGGGCTGGGGTCTGGACTCCTAGGACTGAGGGAGGAGGGGCTGGGGGCCTGGACACCTGGGTCTGAGGGAGGAGGGGCTGGGGCCTGGGCTCCTGGGTCTGAGGGAGGAGGGACAGGGGCCTGAACTCTTAGGTCTGAGGGAGGAGGGGCGGGGGGGCCTGGACACCTGGGTCTGAGGGAGGAGGGGCTGGGGGCCTGGACTCCTAGGTCTGAGGGAGGAGGGACAGGGGCCTGAACTCTTAGGTCTGAGGGAGGAGGGGCTGGGGCCTGAACTCTTAGGTCTGAGGGAGGAGGGGCGGGGGGGCCTGGACACCTGGGTCTGAGGGAGGAGGGGCTGGGGGCCTGGACTCCTAGGTCTGAGGGAGGAGGGACAGGGGCCTGAACTCTTAGGTCTGAGGGAGGAGGGGCTGGGGGCCTGGACTCCTGGGTCTGAGGGAGGGGGGCCTGGACTCCTGGGTCTGAGGGAGGAGGAGCCAGGGTCTTGCCCTCAGTCTCCCTCTGGAGAGCCTTAGTTTCCTTCCTGGGCCTCCTTCCACTCCCCGCTGTTACTCACCCCGTGTAGGGAAGGACACAGTAATTGTGGCCAAGGTGAACGGGAAGGAGCTTCCGGGCAAACCGACCATCAAGTGGTTCAAGGGGAAGTGGCTGGAGCTGGGCAGCAAGAGTGGAGCCCGCTTCTCCTTCAAGGAGTCCCACGACTCCGCCAGCAATGTGAGGATCCCGAGGGCCAGAGGGCCGGCGGGGGGAGTGGAGCTTGTGCAGGACGTGCTCCTCAGAAGTGCTGTTGCCTGAGGCATCGCTGTGGGCCTGGAGCCGGGATGGAGAGTGGGCCCTCTGAGGATGGAGGTTGTGCGGGCTGCTGGGGAGAGGTTGTGTGAGGCAGAGGGGAGGATGCCTGGGGTTGGGTGGGGATGTATCTGGGCTTGGTCATGTACATTCCTGGCAATGCCTGAGGGGGCCAGGGACATGGGCCCCAGAAGTCCCGATGGGTCAGGTGTGAGGAGACAGAGCTGGCCATCAGATGCTGAGCCCCCTTTCGGTCTCCACTGGCCCCCCTGTGGGGTGGGGGTAAGGACTTGGAGATAGAGCTATGAGTGGACTCTGAGAAATATGGGGTGGCTCTAGAGGGTGGTCCCGTGCACCCACACCCCCGGCCCTGGACCCAGGTGTACACCGTGGAGCTGCACATCGGGAAGGTGGTACTGGGGGATCGTGGGGATTACCGCCTCGAGGTCAAAGCCAAGGACACCTGCGACAGCTGTGGCTTCAACATCGACGTGGAGGGTACGCTGGTGGGGGGTGGGGGAGCAAAGGGTTCTGTGCCTGGGGGGTGGGGGACAGACGTACCAGCCAGGTGTTGGGAGAGTGCATAGGCATGGGCATGAGGTGGGCACAGGTTTTTGGAGGAGGGAGTGCAGATTCTGGGGTCAGAGTATTCAAACTCAGGGAGATTTAGCATGGGAGGAGGTCTGGATTTGGGGGTTGAAAGTGTTCAGGGTCTTGGGATGCACATGCAAAGGCTTAGGAGGTGAGTTACACACATTCCACGTTCAAGAAAGTAGGCATAAAGCCTTGGGAAGTGAGGAGGGTGTCCAGGTTTAGAGAGTGTCCAGATTTAGAGAATAAGGGCATATAGGTTTAGGGTGAGGGTGTACAGGATTAACAGGAAATTACACGGATTTGAGGGCACATATATGGACCCCTGAGGGTATACGGGCTCTGGGGGTCTGCAGCCCAGAATGTGTGAGGGTTTAAATGTGGGGTGCACAGGAAATGAGATTGTCCAGGCCTAGGGAGAAAGACAAGCTGGCCCAGGTGCGGGAGTATAGGCTGCTGAGAGAGGGTGGAGCTGGGCAGTGGGAAAATGAGTATGAGCTGGTCTAGAACTAGAGGATGCCCAGGCCTCAGTGAGAGTGTGCTGGTCCAAGAGATGGAGAAAAGGGGGCCTGGAAGAGGTTGTGCAGGCCTGGAGAGGGGCTCTCAGTCTTAGATCAAGCCTGGCCTCCAACTCACCTTCCCTTCTCTCATCACCTCTCCCCAGCACCCCGTCAGGATGCCTCTGGGCAGAGTCTCGAGAGCTTCAAGCGTATGTAAGTGACCCCAGGCCCTTACCAGGGTCCCAAGGACCGTGGGAAGCTCTCCCTTGGGAGGGGAAAAAGGGAGGACTGGGGAAGGCAAGGGGTGACTCTGAAGGGTCAATGCTCACACCCCCTCTCAATGGCCACAGGGGTGAAGGGAAGTCGGATACTGCAGGTGAGCTGGATTTCAGCGGTCTGTTGAAGAAGAGGTGAGCCCCGCACCTGGCACAGGGAGGGGAGATGGGGCTCAAGGGGAGGAGGTGGTGGGTGAAGCTCCATGGCCCGTTGCTTCCTCCTGGACCCACTTCTTACCCCTTTACCACCTCCATCTGTTCACTCCCTGCTCACCCACTATGTAACACACCAACCCATCAGGCTGCCTGTTCATTCACCCATCTACCCATTCACCCAGACCCCTACCCACACCCCCACCCAGCCAACCATCTGCCACGAATTCACCCACCTCCCCACCCTTTAATCCACCATTCTCACACCCACGCTCCTGTTCACTCAGGCTCTAGTTCACCTACTCCTCCACCTACTCACCCTCCCATCCATCCATCCTTCCATCCATCCACTTTCCACCCACCAATCCATCCACTCACCCACCCATCCAACCAGTTGCCTATTTATCCATCTACTAATGCATCTATCCACCTACCTGCCCAGTTGCCAATCCATCTGCCCACATATCCTTCCATTAACCACCATCTTCCCACCTGTTTACCTGCCCATCTGCCATTACAGTCAGCCAGGCTACATGGGTAGGTGGATGAGTAACGGGTGCATGGGATGTTGGATTTGGTTGGGAGATGCAGGTGCAGATAGGTGGGAAGGTGGGTGGATGGTACGGATGAATGGGTGGTGGAGAGGTGGGAGGATGGGTGCCTCAGTAGGTGGGGAAGTGGATGGATGGATGGGGTGGGTGGAGGATGAATGGATGGGGTCATGAATAGGTGTCTGAGTTCACCAGTGAAGAGGTGGGCAGTTGACACACCCATCCACACAGATAGCCTTCTGTTAGATTGAACTATGTGAAATTGATGTTCTGTAGGTAAAAATGATTGAAAGTCTGGGCGCAGTGACTCACGCCTATAATCCCAGCACTTTGGAAAACCAGTGTGGGAAGATTACTTGAGCCCAGTAGTGTAAGACCAGCCTGGGCCATATAGGGAGACCCTGACTCTACAAAAAAAAAAAGAGAAAACTTAGCAGGGCATGGTGGCATGTGCTTGTGGTTCTAACTACTTAGGAGGCTGGGGTAGGAGGATAGTTTGAGCCCAGGAGATCAAGGCTGCAGTGAGCCATGATGGCACCACTACACTCCAGTCTAGGCAACAGAGTGAGACCGTTTCAAAAACAAAACAAAACAAAATTAAATATTGGCAATCTTATACTCATTATCTGCTGGCCCACTTATCCATCTTCACTTGCCCGTCAATCCCCATAACCAAATCCCTGACAATTCCATTTGCTGATCAATTCTATCTCCAGCCAGCCAGCCGCTTCGTTGGCCACTTCCCATCAACACATTCACCCAACTGTGCAGTCAGTTCTCATCAACCCATCAGTCCATCCACTCACCCACCTGTCTTCCCCCAACCCATCTGCCTGTCTTCCCACCCACCCTTCCATTGACCCACCCACCTACTTATCAGCCCACTTACTCACCATTCTCTACATCAATTCAAATATTCATGTCCCCACATTCACCTCCACATCTATCCTCTCTTTGTTCCTTTCCCTTCCTTCCTTCCCTCCCAGGCTCCATCCATGCATTCAGTCACTCTCTCACCCATCATCCATCTTCCGAGGCCTCCCGTCTACTAGGTCCTGGGCTGAGATCCAGGGAGAGAGAACAGTTTGACCGGGTCCCTGATGTGAGATCACTCATTGCCTTGGGAAATGGGTCTGGTCTAACAGACATGGACACAGACTGAGACTATGTGGTGTGATTTTAGAGAGGGTCCCACCGGGGCCTGTGAGAGCCCAGAGCACGAGCAACTCACCGCCTTGGAGGACAGGGAACGCCTCAGGGAGAAGGGAACTTTGGTGCTAGGTCTTGTAGGATGAAGGGGAGTGCAGGAGGAAGAGAAGGTGGGGAGACGTCACGAAGGTAGGGAAACATTTTGTGCAAAGGCTGGGAGGCAGGAGAGAGGCTGAAGTGTTCAGCAAGAGACAAGCAGCTTGGTTCAGGTGGCTTTGTGAGTGGTGATGGAAGTAGCTGGGGCGTGACTGCCAGGCGCAGGGCTGGGGCTTCCTCCTGAGGGCAGTGGGGAGCCACGGGAGAGTTCCGAACATGAAAGGGAGAGCCACGGAAATACCCCACAGGATAAAAGAGGGCAAAGAGGGTACAATGTGTACTGCTTGGGTGATATGTGCACCGAAATCTCACAAATCACTACTAAACAGCTTACTCATGTAACCAAACACCACCTGTTTCCCAATAACCTATGGAAATAAAATAAATACATACATAAATGTAAAGAAATACCCCGCGGGCCAGGCACGGCGGCTCACACCTGTAATCCCAGCACTTTGGGAGGCCGAGGCGGGTGGATCACTTAAGGTTAGGAGTTCGAGACCAGCCTGTTCAACATGGCGAAACCCCGTCTCTACTAAAAACACACAAATTAGCCGGGAGTGGTGGCGTGAGCCTGTAATCCCAGCTACTCAGGAGGCTGAGGCAGGAGAATCGCTTGAACTTGCAGTGAGCCGAGGTGGAGCTTGCAGTAAGCCGAGATCACACCACTGCACTCCAGCCTGGGCGGCAGAGTGAGAATCTGTCTAAAAACAAAAAAACAAAACAAACAAAAAAAAAAACCCAGTGGGGACCGTGCCGGGAAGAGGCCAGGAGACCCCAGGAAGAGGCTGGGGCAATGGACCAGGTGGGAAACAATAAGGCCCCTAAAGGGAAGGTGGCTTGGGTGAGTCACAGAGCCAATGAGTGAGGAAGGCAGAAGGACATCCTCCCCTCCTCACTCCCTGATGGCCCCTGTCCGTTCCCCCAACCCCAGGGAGGTGGTGGAGGAAGAGAAGAAGAAGAAAAAGAAAGATGACGATGACCTAGGCATCCCCCCGGAGATCTGGGAGCTCCTGAAAGGGGCAAAGAAGAGCGAGTACGAGAAAATCGCCTTCCAGTATGGCATCACCGACCTCCGGGGCATGCTGAAGCGACTGAAAAAGGCCAAGGTCGAGGTCAAGAAGAGTGCAGGTCAGCCCTGGTCTAGGGGGAGCTGGGCCCTGCACACAGGGACCCCTAGCCTCGTGGGTATCTGATGATTGGACCCTGGACCTATGTTTTCGAGGTCCCAATGAGGTAGGAGGCAAGACCCAACTCTAGTGGTGGGCCTCGGACGCTGGACCAAATTGAGGACTAGCTAAAACAGGGACAGGGTGGAAGCAGCTTTCCATAAGACATGCCCACCAGTGTGCCATGTCGGTTTACCGTGGCCATGGCAACGGCCAGGAGTTACTGCTCCTTTCCTTCGTAACGACCAGACCACCCAAAGGTTACCATCCTTTTCCTAGCAATTTCCATATAACCCGCTCCTGAATCTATAAGTAATTAAAAGTGGGTATCAATCTGACTGCAGGTCTGCCTTGAGCCGTTGCTCTCTGTCTCTGGGGTAGCCCTGTTCCGCAGGAGCAGTCAGGGGGCTGTAACACTGCCACTTCAATAAAACTGTTTTCAGGCCAGGCACGGTGGCTCACGCCTGTAATCCCAGCACTTTGGGAGGCCGAGGAGGGCAGATCACTTGAGGTCCGGAGTTCGAGACCAGCCTGGCCAACATGGTGAAACCCCGTCTCTACTAAAAATACAAAAATCAGCCGGGCATGGTGGCGCGTGCCTGTAATCCCAGCAACTTGGGAGGCGGAGGCAGAAGAATCGCTTAAACCGGGGAGGCAGAGGTTGCAGTGAGCTGAGATTACACCGTGGCACTCCAGTCTGGGGAACAGAGTGAGACTCTGTCTAAATAAATAAATAAATAAATAATCTGTTTTCTTCTACCTACCACTGGCTTGCCCTTGACTTCTTTCCTGGGTGAAGCCAAGAACCCTTGCAGGCTAAGCCACAGTTTGGGGTCCCCTGCCCTGCATCACCACCAGAGGAGTTCTCAAGGGTCTCTAAGTTCATAGGAGGCCTCCTGACTTCCTCACTTTGACTTTGGAGAGCCCGTGGCCTGGGGAGGGAGATGTGGAGCCTCAGAGGATGACCAGGGGAGTGAGGACCACGTGCCTCCATCCCCTCTGTATGCCTCAATCTCCAGCATTCACAAAGAAGCTGGATCCAGCCTACCAAGTGGACAGAGGCAACAAGATCAAGTTGATGGTAGAGATCAGCGACCCAGACCTGCCCCTCAAGTGGTTCAAGAACGGCCAGGAGATCAAACCAAGCAGCAAGTATGTGCGGGGGGG